CACAAAATTTGGAACTGCTGAGGTTTGAAGCAGAATGTGGTTGGTGTTCTGGGAAGCTTTCAGGTAGATTTCAGGGAAGACCAACAATGCAGTCATCAAATGTTTTCCCTCGTCTTGAAGTCTCTGTCATCTCATTGCAGTAAAATACTCCAATCTTAGCAACAGTTGCTATGTGGGACTACCTTTTTAGGCTATGTTAGTAACATTTTATGATGTTAAGAGCTCTGCAGTGTTCCTGCTGATTCACCTCCTACGCTTGTGAGACTGACTGTGTAGCTTAAGACTTCTATTTTACAAAGAAAAATTAGTGAAGGTTTTGTTGAAAGGGTGTCCACAGAGTTAGAAACTGCCATCAGCATAGCCAAAGAGGAAATGAGGCTTGTATTTTGTGGATTTCTAGAGTGGGTGATCTGTTCTTATTGAACAGGAAAAAAAGATACAAGTTCTAAGCATAAAACCAGAACATAAGCTGTGTAGAACAACTTGCAGCATTGCTGATGCTACGCCAGGGTAAGTATAAAGAAAATAGGAACCTTTAATTTGGGGCCCAAGTGTGTTTGGCTGTCTTTGTGCTTATTCTGGTTCACAGCTGGTCAGAGCCTTGCAAGGCAGGCTGGTCTAACAAAACAGCTTTAGTCCGTCTCTGCAGCATCCTGAAACTTCTGTGCCACTTTGATCGTGGTGGTTTTCTTAGAACTGCAGTTGGAAGAGCCAAGTGGTGGATTATTTGGGGTTTTTTTCCTCTGTAACTGGCCTGTTCTCCTTGCTTATTCAGTTAATGCTTTTCTGGTATTTGATAGGTTGTGTTTGGTTGGGTTTTTTGTTGGTTTGGGTTTGTTTGTTTGTTTTAACTTTCTAGTTCTTCCTTAGAGAGGGGCTTAATGTGTTTAGTGGTCACCTGTCAGGATCTTCCAGTTGGTACCCAGCTGATGCACAAACATCATCTTGGTGAGCTTTGCCAGGAGAGCCAGAATTGGAGGGAGGAGCTGTAGCCAGTGCCTCACGTGTCTTAGCAACAGTTGCTGTGTATGGTGCACTGAGACCACTGGAAGAAATAGAGAACCTCCTCCAACTCCTCCAATAGACATTTTTATGCTTTAAAAGCTTATGTTCATGGATTCACACCCTCAACTTTTTTTTCTTCTCATCTCCCACGCAGTAGTACTGAGAATTTTAATAAAAAATTAATCTTTGGCTGTTGCTCTCAGTGGTTTTGTGCCCTGCTGATGCTGAGTGTTCTTATTTGTGTACAAGTTAATGTTTTACAGGCATTTAACCACCCTTGGCACAAACATTGACTTACAAGTTTCTCAAGGAGAAACATCTATAGATGTTATGCTGATTGTTGTTTACTGGTGTTTTTCAGTGTTATTGCCTAGACAGGTAGAAATGAAATGAAAGTCTGTGTGGTTTCAGAAATGGAGAAAAAAAATGATGCCTCAGGATGTCTATTAGGTATCACATTGCACTGCAGCTGCAAGGTCTGTGTCCAGTGCAGTGCTTATTGTCTCACAAGTGATGAAGCTGGCAAGGAATGCTATTTGCAGATGTGTGACTGTTGTCACCTCCTTTTCTAAAGGAAAGCTACAACCTGCTTTGTGCTCCTTAATGTCGAAATGGCATAATTTGTAACACTCATTGTCAGTGTCAGCTGTCACAGAACAAATGAGCATAAAAAAGAAAAGCTGTCTCCTTCTGTCCCAAAGATCTTTATATAACGTGTGTTGAGACAGGGAGAGGAGATGAGAACAGGGAGGCAGTGAGGACACATGTGGAGCAGTTCTTGCAAGCTGCAGTCACCACACACAGATTGACCAGTCATTCTCGAGGGGTTTTTATGCATCCTGCTGGAGGGGACTTGTGAAAAGGGCTTTGCTGGATGTAATTCAGCTTTGAATTCTGGTAGAAGTTGCTCATAAATAAGGGATAGGATGTGAGAAATCGGGAGTGATTAGAAGAGCAGGAGGTTCATGATGTTGCCTGAGTGGTGGGGGTTCAGGTCCACATTAGAAATTTGCCAGGAACTTGGACCCTCTTTTGACATTGTTTCTTCACTAGCAGTAATAACAGGTTGAAAGACTTCTATGGCTGTGAATTACATATCTGCCCTGCAAAACTACTATGAATTGTACTGAAAAGTGTTTCTTTTTGCTGTGGAGAGATTTTAACAGAAGAAAGGTGTGGTGTGTAACTTCATGTTGTCTAGATTTAAACCTGGCTGATGTGAAGGTCTGTTTGAAAGAATTGTGTACCAAGAGCTGAGATTGGTTTATAGCACAGCTCCCTAGTTCTAACATGGTGCATGGCATGAAAAAATGTCTTGCAAGTAAGCAGGCATAGCTTAAAAGAAAGTTAGTCTTCCTGATTTGTCATTGTCTTGAGCTGTGTTAATCAATATGTGGACACTTGTAATTTGGGGTGCTGCCAAATCAGGTGCATTACCTCAAAAAATTGGCAGTGATTACATCAAGTCAGTGGATTACAGCAATCCAGCTGTAAGAACAGTGACAGAACAGGATATTTGTGCCCTTAAAATGTCAATGCACTAAAACAGTCACTGCAGCATGGTTTTGAATGACCATAAGGACAGCAAGGTGACCTTTTTTTGTTTTTCCTGTCCTCTCTTTTTTTTTTTTTCCCAGAGACCATAAAATTGGATAATTTAGCATTCAAGAGAAAGATAGGAAATGCTTGTGTATTTGTCTGGCTTTCCCCTGTGAGTGAAATAGGAATTGGAATAGAAAGAGGTTGTAATATGTAGATGTTTAAGCAGAGAAATGTAAAACAGTTGATTCAATTGTGTTAACCCAGGTAAATTAGTTTAAATATAGAAAAGGAGTTAAAATCTAAATTTACCTGTCAATAGTAAAGGGGAGAACTTGATCAAGGGGAATTATTTCTTCCCTAGTTGGTTTCAAAACAGAAGAGTTGCCACACTTGACTCATGTTACATGATAATTTGTACTGAGCAGTCTTACTTTCATAGCTATTTTTGATTGAAATTTCTGGTTTGAAAGTTCTTCATTTAGTGATAATGCAAGATCTGAATTTTCTCTTTTTAATGTTCTACCTCCTTTCAAACTTCTGTATTTTGATAATATGAAGTGAAAAGTGAATACGTTTATCATTGCATGTGGGGAATATTCACTAAAGGATACTGGGTTGAGTTTAAAGAGCTGAAGACAGATTTGGTTTTGAAGGTTTATTTAAGAAGCCAAACAAACACAGAAAACCCAGTCGAATGAAACAGTTGTTCCTTGGCATTGTACTTGGTCAGAGTTGAATGCAAACACAGTCAGGAGGATGAATGGCATCTTAGTGATCACCAGTTCAGACTGTCAGACTGCAGGGACAGGATTGCTCAACCTCTATATTTTGCAGACCATTAAACTGCAGCAGCTTTCCCCCTGTGTTGAGCAAAACTTCTATGTGCTGCTTTGTTTGAGTCTTATCAAAGTCATTAAAGTGTGTGAAAAGAGAGTGAATCCAGGTGTGCGTTCCCTGTCAGGCTGTAGGCAGAGGGTGGGAGAGTGAGGGCTCAGTATTTCTGAGGGTATGTGCTTCCAGTTCACAGATGACAAGACATGATGTCTGTACAGAGCAGATGACCTTTGCATTTCCTCTGCAGATAAATGGAAGCTTTAATATTTTTAAGTAGCAAAATATTAATTTGTGAACTAAGCTATGGAAGATGATTTGGTAGGCTAAATTAAGGGTACTTGTTGAGAGAAATATGGAGCACCATTTTTTTCTGGGAAGGCAGGTGCCTGCTTAGGTACACAGTGTAACCTGCTTCAGTGACTTGTAGTGGTTTTACTGCCCCAGTTGAGATAATTGATTACATCTGACTGCCCTCTTCTGTTTTGGGCTGCTGGTACTGACCTACCTTGTGCTGACCTGAGGTTTACTCCCTTTGCAAGTTCAGTGTAGTGGATGAGCTTGTGGCCCACAAGGCAAGCGGAGATTTCATAGACACTGTTTCCTTCACCTCCATTGCATCTCAGTTTTGTGCATTTCTGGGAAGCTTCTGTCTATGGAATGACCTTCATTGGCAAAATTTTCCAGTGGTTTATCTCATACTCTATCTTTTCCTTGGGTAATCTTCACCTCAAGAGTGAGAAGAGGGAAAGCTCTGTAGTATATTGTTTTTTTTATTCTTGAAACATGGGGGTGTTGGTTGACAGTGGCTGAACACGAGCCAGGAGTGTGCCCAGGTGGCCAAGAAGGCCAGTGGCATCCTGGCTTGCGTGTGTAGCCAGCAGGACGAGGGCCATCATCATCCCCCTGTACTCGGCACTGGTGAGGCCACATCTCAAGTCCTGTGTTCAGTTTTGGGCCCCTCATGGGAAGAAAGACATTAAAGTGCTGGAACAAATCCAGAGAAGGGCAGCGGAGCTGGTGAATGGTCTGGAGCACAAATCCTGTGAGGAGCATCTGAGTGAACAAGGGGTGTTTGGTCTGGAGAAAAGGAGGCTCAGGGGAGACCCTCTTGCTCTCTGCAGCTCCCTGAAAGGAGGTTGTAGCCAGGTGGTCAGTCCTTTTTCCCAGTTAACAAGGGACAGGACAAGGAAATGGCCTCAAGTTGTGCCAGGGAATGTTTGGATTAGGTATTAGGAAAAAAAAAATTCACAAAGGGTTGTAAAGCATTGGAACAGGCTGCCCAGGAAAGTGGTGAGTTCACCATCCCTGGAAGGGTTCGGATAACGTGTAGATGTGACACTTGAGGGTGTGATTTAATGGTGAACATGGTGGTGGTGCTGGGTTGACAGTTGGACTTGGTGATCTGAAAGGTCTTTTGTAACCTTAACGATTCTGTGATTCTGTGTTGGGTATTTGTCTGCTTTTACTTCATGTTAACTTGGAAGGTAGAAAAAGGTATTTTTGCATCTTCTGAACAACACACACACACCCACATCCACCCATAAAATCCCATCTGTGTGGTTGCTTTGGAAACCTCTCATTTCAGTAAGAATTATTTAACGTGATCACCTTCTTTACAGATGATGACTTTGATCAGTTTGATAAGCCTGGTGCAGAGAGGTCTTGGAGAAGAAGAGCAGGAGATGACGACTGGGACAGGTAGGCAGAATATTTTCATGTTCAGTTTCTGTGTGCTGAATTGCCTTGCTCTGTTTTCCCATTCTGGCATTTTGTGTTCTAACATTTAGAGCGGTGCACATTCAGATACTAATGAAGATGTTGGTTGTTTTGCATGTGTCAGCCGATGCTGGATCGTGCCAAACATGTACTTGCCTTGAGGAATGTAGAGCACTGTGAATAGATACCATTTAAAATTGGATAAATACAAAGTATTTGTGGTGTGCAATTTTGCAATTAATGTCTTGGTTTTCCTTTTAAATATGTAGTAGATCTTGGTGGTTTAAATAGTTCGTATTTGCTAGTACTTGAATTTGCTCAACTTAATTTTTAAATTTTTTTTAATTAGATGTTTAAATCCTTAACCTCAGAGTCCTACTTTCAGTTTTACATTGGAGAAGAGTACTAGAGCTTAGGTACAGGCTTCTTAAACAATGTGGCTTGTAAAGATTTAGAAGTGTGTGTGCACTTGCTTTTTTTGGTGGGAGAATAAGTGTGGGTTTTTATGTGAAAGGAATCTGGCTGGGAAAGGAATCAAGCTGCTGGCTAGACTGGTCTGTTCTTTCTGGGGGAACTTTTCACTTATTTGTGTTATTTTTCTATGTTGCCTTTTTAGTAATAAATTTGTTCAGACTTTGCCAGTGGTTTTCAGTGTAAAAGGCAAAAAAGAACAACCCATTCCAAATAGATTGTTATCTGCTGTAATAATCACTCAAACGATTGTAGTAAACAAGTTTTACTCTAAGTAGTTTTCCACTCAGCTGAGCCCTTGGAGTGAATCAACTGCTCTACAATTATTGTCATTCCAGAGGGATTAGTTTCCTCTTCCATGCTTTTCTGCTAGGTTAAGTGGGTAGTTTTCATTGCTCCAGGAGGCAAGTGTGTGACGAAGGAATTTGGACAGTAGCTCCAGTTTACAGAGCGTTCTGCTGTTTGCTGGTGGGGAGTCTCTGCTCTCTGTCAAGCCAGTACAGCTGTTAGGGGGTTGGATGGTGAACTGCACCATGGAGCTGCTCTGGTTTGAGAATGGAATTAAAATAACTTGTTCAGGCTGGGTCACTGTACTGTGCTGCCTCCCAGTCCCAGGTCTGGGTATTCAGAAACCCTAAAATAAGTACTGAAAGCAAAATGTTCTGTATTAGAATGTTTTTTGAACTTTTTGCCTTTGCTGACTTTGTGGTGTGAATAGGTGGACTCTTTACATGCTGACTGGTCACATTTGGGTTTAGCTGTCCTACTCATCACTGCAGAAAATTTGGATGAGTCAAGCAACCATTGCATCAGAAGTTATTCCCAGTGGTAAACTTCCTGCAGCAAAACTGTTTTTAATAGGAATTGACAGAGGTTTTAGAGTATTTTCCCTAAGCTGAGACTCTGAAGCACACAAGAATTCAGTTTTAGGAAAAAGTTTTACTTTATGTATTTATTATTACCTGCATATAACTTAAGATAAATATAAAAAATGCAGTTCTGCAGCTTACTGAAATTGTAAGAGAAGTGATTCCAGGTGCAGAGCAGAAGATTCCAGAGCTTCAAAATTTCAGAATTTTTTTTTGTTACAACTATATCCAGTAGAATATTATTTGCATGTGTTGGAATATTGTTTTTAAAATATTATTATTCTTTTCAGATTGCCAAGCTGTATTTGGAAGTGTTAAGTTCTGTGAGTGTCTTGGCAATTACAAATGCTGTACGTGGATATGTTGTTGCCTAATGTAATTGCTTAAAGTTTTAACCTACTGGCCTAATTCAGTACAGGACAGTTTATTCAAGATAGAAAAAAGGCTGAATGAATGCAGTAGTCTTGGGGTGTTTTAATCCTTCATGCTTTGGTTTGCAACATAAGTATTGTTTTGGGGGGAGCTGGAGTTCTGCTGTTAGTCACACATTGTGATCAACCATCAGCTCTTACTTTGTTGTTACTTGACTGAGTCACATCCCCCAGTTATTTAAATAATTTTGAATTTTCAGATATCTGTCCTTTCTCAAACACTGGAGGTGATAACTGATAGTTGGAAGGCCCCAGTAATTTGGGATACAAATGTAACATTGCTCTTGGAGAATTTTTCCCATTACATTTTTTCCACAAGTTCTTTTCCTGAAACATTTATATCCTTGCTGCTGCTCATGTTTAATGAGGCATGTTCATGAAATTGGAGGCCAGAGAGGGCCACTCTGACGTCTTTATCACAGGGTGTTCATTTGTATATGTATTTCTTTAGGTAACCCAAAGCTTGGGTTTGGAAAAAAACCTGCATTTCTGGTGCTTTCCTTCGAGATGACAGGAATGATTTAGTAGTTGACTTTTGCTCAAATTCACTTGTTCTGACCCTTCTGAGGTTGCTCATTTCTCTACGCTGGCAGAAAACTTTCCACTGGTTGTTGTCTTTTTTATTATTATTGTCTTTATTTGGTGTGCTGAATTTATTCAATGAAGGGAATGTTAGATGTACTGGAAGTTGAGGCAATGTAAGGAAATGGGTCTGTTTCTTGTGAAACCAGTGGACTCTTTTATATTACCTTAACCCAAAATTTCCTAGTACTGTGGTTTGGAAACTTTTGTGTCTTGATGATAGTGAGGCTGAAGTGACTGTGAAACTATCACAGATGTGTACTTTTATTCCAGGTCAGATTATTTTATGTGGCTTAGTGTGGTAGCAGATTGCAGCCATTCATTTTTGTCTGTTTTTGTCAGCTAGTCTGAGATCTTTCAGTATCTGTTTTGCCTGCTTTGTGTTTCTTAGTTTGTTTTGGTTTTTTTAATGGTGGGATTTAGTACTTCTGGTCCTCTTTCTGAGAGAGAACTTCAGATACGGCTGTTTTAGAAACCTTGAGATAGTACAGCTTTACCGTGCAGGCTTTTCACTGTTACTTTGTTTATTCAGAAAGTTATGGTCATTTTTCTTCTTTTAATTCATTAACGAAACTACTGAATAACATTGAACATTTTTAGAGGTTTTGGACGGCATCCTGTAAGGACTTTTGTTTCTGATATAAGCTTCATTTATATGCTAGTGCCAATTTTTTTGACTGCTAAGCAATAAGGCAAAGCTTCAAAAATCTAGAATATGTTTGCAGTTATTTCTATTCATCAGATGTTAATCTTTTTCTGAAAAATCACGTCGAGGATGTTTTTCAGTAACATGTTTAATATCCCTAACTATGTTTAGAAAACTAATTTCATCTTTTACTTTTCCGTTCCTTTTCTTAATCTGAATGTCTAACTTGTTTTTTGTCTTCGAGTGCTGCTGTAACGCTCTTACCATCCTTTGGAATTTCTCCAGTGCAGTTTTATTAAAAGCTGTCAGTGGTGGACCATAGTGCTGGGAAATATTTTCAAACCCTTTGGTGCATTTGTCAGGTTACTGGCAGTTGAAGAGATTAGTGATTTTTTAGAGACAAAATTGAAGTAAGAAATGCTTCTGCAACCATTTCTGTTAGGTAGAGTTTCCTGTCTCTGAAATAAAGGGCTTAAATTCCAGTCAGTTTGCTCTTTGGAACGTGTCATATGTCTTATGTCCCAATTTTTGTTTAATATTACAAGTGAGCACAAAACAATTGCTATTTGTCAATGTTCAGTCATTCCTGGAAATATTTGAGATCAGTAACCATGGATAAATTCTGTGTACTGATAATAATGTCCTATTTAGGGCTGATTTGGTGTATCATCTGTTCTTTCCTAGCCCACAAGATTTTTATTCCCCCTTTCCACCCCCATGTTATCTGTACAATAATCAGCTCTGAAAGAGACATATCCATCTGCAAAAGCAACTCTTAGCAGTTATTTATGTCTTGGAAGTGCCTCCCCATTTTCAAGTATTTACCATACAGTCCTAAGGAACTCTTATAGAAATTCTGTTCCTATAGCACATTCTCAGTTCGGAGAATTTTGTTCTTATGTAGTATCTAAGGCATGGTGGTTTTGTTGGTTTGGTTTGGGGTTTTTGTTTTTTTAAGGTATACAGGTAGAAGTAGTGTCAAATAGCAGCTCATATTTCAATGCACTGGCATCTCATTTAAGTATTGACATGCATATTCTACTGCATACATTTGTCAATAACAACTGTTTATTATAGAACAGGGGAAGCTGTTTATTCCTGCCACTAGATAATTTTTTCACTGAAGGAAGAAGAATGAGATTAATCAGGTTTTCTAAAGTTCAGCTAATCTGGAATGTGTTTCTTTGTGTTGAAACTTATTTATGGGACAGTTGCTACGTGATGGCAGAAGTTTTGTAAACCAGGTATTTCTGTGCTTCCTGAATTCTTGGGCATGAGTATAAAAGTGGTGAAACGTGCATTTGATTTTGTCACCCTCTAGGTGTCTGTTTGACCTTACCCTCAGCTTGACAAGGAGGCAGTAAAGTATTTAGGGAAAATCTAGGCCTAAGCCTGACCTTTAGGGAAGATCCAGGCTCCCAAGCCAGCTGGCCTCCCAGCCTTCTTGCTCAGGTCTGTCTTGGGCCACGTGGTGACCTGTAGACTGAGTTTTGCCCACTCTCACTTACTTCCTCCCTGGGGAGCTGGAAATTGGCAGTTAGGACAAAATGACCCTGAAATGTAGGACCTAGAAGAATGGGGACCTGGCTGTCTGGCTTTTATCTGGCTGTGCCTGCATTTTGGCTGGGTTATTGTGCTCTGTTTGGTTGTAGAGATATGGAAGGGAGAGCATGTGGAAATGAAATGACTGTGCAACAGCAGAGGTAATATGTATGGTCTGTTGTTTCACTGAAAATAGGTATCTGTTTTTCTTGAATGCTTTGCTAAAAGAAAGGGTTTGTGCAGGCTTTGTAGCAATTCTCCTCAAGTCAGTTTTTTAAGGCATGTACCCTGTAAGGTATTTGTTTCTGTTTTCTAAGGTTCAGCTTCTTAAATTTTGTACTGTTTTCCAGTGAACTTGATGATGACTTGCTTGGAGAGGACTTGCTAACTGGAAAGAAGGTAAGAAATGTGCTTTAAAGTGAATTGTTGCAGATATTAAAATGTGAATGTTGTTCAACTTACCCACTTCAGGTGTTTGGTTTGACCTCATGTATTTTACAATCACCTCCCCAAAGCCTGATACCTGAGCTCTGTCCTATTGCCAGAGCTCTCTGCACCCAGGGTTGTGTTTCCTTTTGTGAAAAACCTCCAGGTGAGGCTTTTTAAAATACAACTTTTAGAAAAACTACTTTTTTCTGAGATAGTATTTCTTCTCATAACACACAGTCCAAACAGGAGATGGTTCTCAAAATGAATTTCCCTGTAGCTCATATTGATTTCACAATTAAAAAAAAAAAAAGGAAAAAAAAAAACAAAAACCCCCCAACTCCCCCAAAAACAAACAAAAAACCCAAAAAACAATGAGGCCTCCTGAGTGCTGATTAGCATGCTGGAGAATTTAATGCAAGTGCTGATTTCCTGGCTATTAAAAATTACTTGTCAAAATACCAGCAGTATTTACCAGAGAGTAAATAAAAAAGGAATCAGTGATGTCTGTTAAAGATTACACTCAGTGTGCACAGTCTGCTATTGCGTTGTCTGATGAGTAGGTGGAGGATTTTCCCTTTTACAGTGAGGGGAAAAACATGGGAGCAGCTGGAACTGGATAACACAAACAAGTTCTCACCATGTCTGCTATAGACTCCTCATGCTGATAACCATTTCCAATGCTGAACTCTGTGAAAAGAACTAAATGTATGTTTGGGTTTGCCAGATATCTGCAGGAGAAGACAGGATTCCTGTTTGGAAAATCAAACTGGCTAGTCACCTCTTTTTATATTTTATCTGCTGAATGAACTCATTTAGAAAATAGTTTTTAAGGTTTGGTTGGAGATTAATAGGTTTGTTAAGAAACCCAGATCTCTTAAGAGTTAGGTTTCATTTGATGTAGTTTTCTATAACCACAGTCTATTTGTTGCAAATAAACTTCTTGAAACTATTCTGTAAGTATTCCCTATTAAAGATAGGAAGTTCCTTAGTCTCATGTACTGGTTTAAGAAAGAAAATAAAATTCCAAGATTATAGGGCTTGCAGATGTGTGTTATGCAGTTATCAAAAACATAAGCAGTTAACATTGTAAATATCTTTGTAATTGGAATGCTAGTTGATAAAGCTGCTTGCTTATATTAAAAAATATGAAATTATCTGTGTGAATACTAACTAATACTAGATTCTCCAAAGTATTATTTTTTTCTTGTGCTTTTTCTATTCTTTTCGGTTTGCAATGTTACAGGGGTATGGACACATATGGTGGGGTAAAAATACATTTCTCAGAAAGTTTTCCCTGAACTATTTATGCTAAACTTCCTTCTACTTAATCTCATCCCAATACTTCTAGATAAATCTACCTTTGTGTAACCTTTCTGCCTGTTACTTAAGGGGTTGGAAATGTTGGTTAGCAAATCTGCAGATACCTCTTCTGAGTGGGTAATTATTAAAAAAAAAATAAATGAAACAACTTTATATCCTTTTCTCCAGTCTGTATCTTTGCTCTCTAGAACTTAAAAGTAATTTCATGCATTTTCTTGTCTTGCTAATGCATCAATGTCACAAGGCCATGAACTAGAGCTTTTTTCCTTCCTGGTCTTAAGCAAGTTGTCATCTTTGGCTGTATTTGAGAATGGAGCAGTGAAAACTGTCGATAGACAGGCAAATTTGAGTTCTGTAAATTTCCATTAGACTACCAAGGATGTATTTTAAGATTTGTTGTCTTGTAGTTTTTTTCCTTATCAAATTAGGTCGTTTCCTTGAAGGTATGGTCTTATTCTGAGGTGTGATTTTCATAAAAAAATACTTAGTATTCAGAACTTTCAGTAGTTAAAAGTTTATATCTTTTATATTTATGATTGACTTTTTCTGAAACCTAGAATCAATCAGACTTGTCAGATGAAGAGCTGAATGACGATCTTCTGCAAAGTGACAATGAAGAGGAACAAGAATTTCGGTATTTCTTTCCTGAATCTTGTTTTGGATAACTCAAAGCTACTAATGGCTACTACTACTGATTACTGATAACTACTAAACTAAAGTTATTCTTACATGCTTAAAATGGTTTTGGTTTTTACTTAGCCAGTTACTTGGTGATGTATATCTAATGTACTCAGTAGCATTATTTGCATATCAATAACATTATTTTGGTTATTTCAATCTCAGAAATTTAACTCAAATCTATAAAAAGCTTATGAGAAGAAATGGTGTCATCTCCCATGCATATAGAATTCATTATAAACACTTACAGAGCTTTGCTGTTTGCAGCCTCAGTATTGTTGTGAGCTTCCTTCTCCTGTGAAGTCCTTTTCTGCCGTCTTTCTTTTAAAAATATCTTACCTTCTAAGACCCTAAGGAGGGGAATTGCACACTTGATGAGGCTTGATTTGTGGCTTAATTGTTTGTGTACAATTACACAGCAGAAAATTTGTAACAGAGTTTATAGTCTGGAGCAGGTACTTCCACAGAAGTTCACTGAGGATCCTGCCCTGTGAATACTCCCTGGTGATACAGCTCCACAGCTGAGTTATGGGCATCACAACTCAAAATGAGTGTCTTTTTACTTTTCAAGCTGGACTGATGCAGGGGGAAGATGCTTGTGATGCCAAAGTGATACAATACCACTGCTGCTTTTAATGGCCTGTGTGTTTTTCCAGCTTTTTCTTTACTTGTTGCATGCTGTGCAGGTCATGCCATCTGAAGGGGTATGAATGTATATATAACATGCATTGATATATTTATATCTCAGAGATCTCCTGTGCTTAACCTTAAGTAGTATAAGGAGTCCTGTCATTGTATTGGACTGATGGTGGTGTGATAAAATGCTCCAACCATCCAGCTGTCCATTGGCTGCTGTTTTCCTTCCTGCAGTAGTGAGGGTTGGACTATTCCCTTCAAAAGAGGGAATCCCTATTGGTTCTTTCTGTCACTTCACTGTATATCCTCTCTGAGACCCCTGGGCAGCAGGAGTGGCTATGTAACCACATGAGTGATAAGAAAGTATCTGAAGTGTGATAGTATTGCTCAGTGGAAGCAGGTTTCTGTAGACAAGTTTTGCATTTTTAGCAGTTTTATTGGCAGAGAGTGAGAGCCTTTCCCTTTTCCTTCTATTTCCATTCAACCTCATGCTTCTGTAGTTGGGAGGATAATGATAATCCTGCATAATGTCTTCATTTTTGTGTTAAATCTTCCCTGTCTTATAGATGCAAATAGCTCAGAGCTGCCTGGATCTTTTTCTCCCAAATGTAGGAAAATGGTGAATAATAGTGTTGCAGAATAATTCGAATTTAGTAGTAGAATGGCTAAGGCTTAGTAGGAGAGTAGGCCTAGAAAGCAGCACTCCAAAGTAGTAAGTTAGCAACCTTGTTTGTGAGCATGGAATGTGCTGAAGAGATAGCAACAACAATCAAAGGATTTAGTCAAGCATGTATATAATGATTTGTTACCTGGGATGTGGTAAGGGTCTGTTAATCAGTTTCTAGGGGTAAGACAGCTTAAGAAGATTTATGATTAGAGTAGATGATTATTAATTGTTATCAGTATGAAGTATGAGCTTGCTTGTAACTGTTTTGTTGTAGAAACTGCTATGAGCTTGTTTGTAACTGAATGTAACTGTTTTGCTGTGGAAACAGCATGTAAACTTGGTTGTGTATAAAAGCTGAACTGAGAATGGAAGTCTTTGGAATCCTGACTTGGGACGCTAGTCTTCAGGTTCCCGGGGCCCCGAATAAAGCACAGCATAAACCGGCACTCTGTTGGTTTGTGTTTTTATTTGTTACGGGCAACAATAGGACTGTTACTTAAAAAAAATAAAAATATCTTTATTTTCATTATACCCTGAACCCTGAAATCAAGAAGAGCTTCCCCCCCCTCTGCTTTTCTAACTTGTCTGCAGTTGGTTAGTTGCTTTTTTATGTGTTGATGGCACTAGCTGTTGTAAACAGTAAATTCTGAGCTTTGCTTTGCCTGCAGATTATAAATGTGTCAGTTTTTGTATTGATTGTTTTTTTCCAGTGTCTGTGCCAGTGGTGTTACTAAGTTAAGAGTGTCTCAGGCATTTAAATTACAGTTATTGACTATGTATTTTATATTAAGTAGAACATTAAATCTGTCATAAAAATGTAACTTTGAATTCAAGATAGTCAAGAATGAACAACATGAATGCATTTAGTAAAAAATATTTTACTAGAATATTCTGAAAGATTGGGAAAACAGATGCAGTTATAGCAATTTTGTGTATTTTTTGTTAGTCTTAGAATTAAAATTGAATCCAGTCTGCTTTGGTGACAAAGCAGGACTTTTGCCAGTTTGACCTGCTAAACCATCTGGTTCGTTTGATTCCCCTGGTCAAATAGCCTGCAGCTGGTGATAAGCTGCAGTACAGTATGCATTGTGAGAACATGGCATGCACTCAAATAGTGTATGGGGTATAATTCTGTCCACCAACTTAGAGAACTTATGTTTGTTGGCTTTGTTTTGCTAAATCTTTGCGGGTAGTTGACTGTTACACTCCAACCTCTGAATCCCTCCCATCCCACAGCTCTCCAGGTGTCACGGTGAGCCTCAGTGCCACATCTGGCATGCTGGCATCATATGAAATCTCTGAGTCCATCAATGATCCGTCACTAGAACATGAGTCTGAGTATGACCAAGGGGAAGATGAAATTGGTTATGACAAATCTGAAGCACCTGAAGAATATGCTTCAGAGTATGCAGAGGAAGGACATTATGAAGGCAATGATCCTGAGCTGACAGAAGACCAAATAGAATATGGGGAAGAGCCTGGAGAAGAAGATGAAGTGCTAGACCTTGAAATCAATGAACCCCTCGATGAATTTCCAGTGAGTTTCTTTCTATTGTATCTTCAAAGATAACACTGCTTTGCGTGCATAGGGTTTTAGACTGATTTAAAATCTGTTTGCCTCCCTAGGGAGGAGGGGAAATTAGACCTATTATCACTGTCTGCCAGTTTCTTTATCTAGGCTGTGACAAAGTTTGTGTTGACAGCTTGTTTGGCGGTAGGTAATGCTCCTTTGTCATGCGGGAAGGCAGTTGAGAATCATGACCTTGAGGATTGTATCCTTAAGGAAGAAAACAGCTTTGTGTGGTGGAGATACACTGCCAATTGTTAGAAGTACTTAATGCAAAAGCTTTTATCCAGGCTTTAGACAAGATCTGATAAAGTCCTTCGAAGGTGAAAAGATTATTGACCTGCTAAAGACATCTTTAAGGTGCTAATATCCCAAAGTGATTGATGTCCTGCTCGTTCATCCTTTTTGTAACTGAGAACTGTCTAAACCTGAATAAAGAGATTGGAGGTTAGTTCAGAAAATGTCACCTGCATAATTCAATATAATTTAAGCAGCGTATTAGAGAACATGCACTGGCTTTAATTGCCAGTGAAGTGATTTAATCTTAATTAAAACTGTATGTGATCAGTGAGGTGTTTTAAAATACAAGCAAACTTACTCAGGAAAGCTTTTACTCTTGTTTTATGTTCATAATTTTTCGGAGTTGAACCTGCTCATATGTAGGTGCTTGCAGAGTGTTTTAAGAATGTTTATATTCTTATGGGGTGAAATCTGATGTTAATGTATATGTGCATAGGTGCATGTTTTCTTTGGTAAGAAAGGACTGCAGTTTGCTTCATGAATTTGTAAATGGGGGATTGACCCCATTTAGATGTAGATGTATAGGAGAAGTTGGAGCAAACAGTATTAGGTGGTATCTTTATTATAACATTGGTATCTGAGTGAAAACTGCTTTAGTTTTGATGATATTGAAATTATGGTCTAGTTAAAAGCCCTGCTAATTATACTGTATATATGTCATATCACTTGTAATTGACAGTTCTGATAGAGACAATACTTTTTTCAAGTCTGGAAGTCGTAACAATGTAGTCAGACCCCACCTCTCCATGGGTTTGCAATTCTGTACAGTTTGCCTGTGTCTTTTCACCTTCATGTGTTATTGCTTTAGGATGAAGATTACATGCAATCATATAATGAGCAAGCAATGGAAGAACAAGGAGAATATACGGCTGATGAGGAGCTGGAAGAATCCCAGACAATGGCAAATGAATCAGAAGAGGTATGTTGTAAATTTAATGGAAACTTAACTAGTTCTTTTAGAGATTGATTTCATAGAATTGTACCTATTACAGAGTAAGAACTGATGCACTTTGCCAGTGTTGAATTATTGGTCATATTACTCTTTGTGTAAGATGAATTGTAATAGCATCTATATTGTCAGATACATCAGATGCCCTCTCTCCCCTGGGATGAAAACCATAAGGAATAGGCCAAAATGTGCATATTTAGTCTTGGCTTCAACATTAGTAACTTCAGAGGCCTGTTTGGGTAGGAGAATGACAGTAATACTGCATGCTGTGTGTTAAATCTCTAATAGCTGTGATGCCTCACTTTCCAGGTGGATCATTTGTGCCACTGGGAGTGTAAATACAGTTCTTGGGTATCCCCTTTTGAGGAGGAGTGTGAGCATGGAAAGTTCAGTATTTTAGAAGGGCAAAGGTTAGATTGTTTTTTTGAAAGGAGTTTTGTTGGGACTGAAGTTCCTGTGAAGTTTATTTTACTTCTTTACTTAGGAGAAAGAATGAGTTCCTTCATTTGCAAGGAGAAAGCTTATGCCAAAGACTGCCACATATACAGTCACTGATTATAGCCCAGAACAGAGGCATCATACCTGTTTTTAATTTGCAGCAAGTTTTTGATGGGGGATTTTTTTTCTTTCCCCAGCAGGAATCTGCTTTAATATTACTTTTATTCCAGTTCTTAATTAAATAGGGTTGAATGGATTACCTGCTGAGAAGTGTAGTCAGAGTGTGTTTCCTCTTTGGAGCTTTAACTCATCAGGAAATTAATTCCTCAAAGACACAGCAGTGTTACTCTATGAAGTTCTTACAAGTGGGTGTGCTGTGATGGTCTTGTTGTATCAAACCTATTTTGGTAAAACAACATTCCTTGGTAGGCAGAGATCTGCACTGAAAGGGGCCACCTGCGTTGTTCAGTCCTCCACTGTTGCAAGCATGACATCTTGTACCAAATAAACCTTAAAGTAGTTATTTGCTACTTCACTAGTATTAAATCTACTCTTTGAAAGAATTGTGTAATGTCTAAACACGTTTTGTTCATTCACTGGATTATATACACTTTCTTTTTGGCATTTTGGAAGTGGAGTGATGCTTTTGGGCTTTCTGCAGCTGCAGTCTGAGATGATGGACACAATGCACATCATGTAAAATTAAATACATAGCTGAGATTCACTGTCAAACTCATGACCTTAAAAAAGTACAGCTTCATTTTTAGAGTACAAACTAATGAGAATTCTGTAATAACGATGTTGTCTAAATTCATCCAATTCAGAATTAAATTCCTTTCATTCAAAAGATACCATTAATGAAAGTTTTTATTGTTTTTCTTAATAGATCTTTTACAGAATTTGTTCATCATATAATTTGAGCATTTTGGCCACATCTTTATTTGCTTACTCTATGTTCTGGCATTATTCTAATGGTTTGCAGATTACCACAGGTTTTTCTTCCCAAAACAGTAGCATCTTTTTATTCTGTTCTTATTTATTATGTAGCTTATTTACATTTGGCAGCAGGCTCATAATTGTACTCTCTAAATGAGAATATCACTAAGAGAGAGAACCTTTGTAGAGTATCCAATTCTTTTTATTGCAAGGTTAGATGCCACCTCCAACTCTGAAGAGTGTTCTTTATTTGAGTGTTATATAACAGTACTCTCCCTAAAATCTCAACATTTGTTACTTGTAAACAAGGCTAAAGTTGGCATTCTCCTGTAGAAAAGTGCAACACAAGAATGGAGCTGTAATGAGTGCAAAGAAGTAGCATTATTATCTCCTGACTGAAATTTGGCATGTGAACAACTGAGAGCGAGCTGACAGAAAAGAGTGTTTGGTGTTGTATTTTATGCAGTTCCCACATTAAAACCAAATAAAGCCTCTTATTAGATTGCATGAAGAAACTCTGTAAACCAAGAGAAAAACTGACTGGATGAGGAGTTGGAAAATAATGGGAGGAAACAAGTGAATTGAATATGGGAAGTTAGACACCTGTTAGGAGTGGCACTCAAGGTGGGAGCTGTGAGGAAAAGGCAGGTAAAGCTTGTGCTTGAAACAGTGCTTAGAACCTTGGATTTTAAATAAATAACACTCTCTGTGGAGCTTCCTTGAAAAATGTAGCAGTGGTTCAGAAAATATTTTTGTGTTCTTAAGGTACAAAGCAGAAACACTCAATACCCGGAAATTTCAACAGCAAATAGGTGTGGTAGAACGGTCACATGAGGCATCATGTCCTAAATATTTTTAGAGGAAAACTATCACTAATTACTTCTGTGAAATGTGAATGTGAAAATGAAATAAAAATAAACCCTCCTGAAATTAGAATTCGTGATTTCTTTGTTTTATATCAGAACTAATCTGTGAAGTGTATGATAGGGGATTTGTCATTGCATAAATTTAAACCGTGTCTTGGGTTATGCTGATAAGAAATGTAGAGGACTTTAATCAAGAAAACATTTCATGAAAATGTCCTACATACTGCTTTTCTTTTGATAGAGTACAGGCTTGGGGAAAAAAAGGCCAATGTTTCTGTCTGAATTGTTCCATCTGTGTGTAGCCAAAACTTCTGCATTTTAGTACTTTTGTTCAAGTTTGAAGACACTACTTGTCAGCCTGGAGGAAAGTGATGAAAAGAGTGCAAATCAAAGCAGCCAATTTTAAAACATATTTAAAGGCACTTAGGTTTATTATTTTAGTCCCATTTTTCATCTGTGGAGTTGAGATGCCCTTGGAATAGGTGTAACATCCCCTTATCTGCCCTCTTATCTCTTGATCCTCCCCTAGGACTGAGCAATTGCTACTGCTTCAGTGTTAGCCTCTAGTAGATGCCTCCACTGCCTATTTTCTGGCTACTTAATAAATCTTTGTTTCACCTTTGTAAAGTTTCTGGTTTAGCCTCTACAACATCTTATCAGTCTCTGCCACAAAGCTGTCCAGAACACTTGATAATCACTTTTGGGAGGATCATGCTGAGCAGTGTTTTTTCCTACTTTCCTTGGACTGTGTTTGCTACCACTGCTGCAGGTGCCTGGGGAGCTGTCTGGGCAGGAGCACTCACTCTTTCTCAGTAGTGGTTCATAGCCCAGCATGAGGAGTTCTGGTCAGTGACTGGGATTTATGGCATAATTATTTAATGAGGATGGCAGGAACCTCTGACCTTGTGGTAGAAGAAAGGTCGTTCTTTTTCTTTGTAAGGGTCAGCAAAGCTCTTTGGTGGCTTTGTGCAAGGTGTCAAAATGGGAAATGTAAAGCTCCCTTTGAGGAGAGCTGCCAGAAGCCTTGGCTGGCAGGTCCAGTCAAGTGACCTGAAGTGGCCATTCAGGGGCTGTGTATGTACATGCAGAGATATTCATGATTAGCAAGTATTAAAAGCAATCCTATAAGTACTAGTATGTCTTAATTCTGTGTCTGCAGTTGTGTCTTTTTGAAACATAAAATCCCTTTATATACTATAGTCTTGGCATAAGTGCTCATCCTGTTTGACTGGAAATTGGAAAAGCTCATCTAGAAGTCTTGCATGCTCCAACTGTTGGACAAATTGCAGGGGAAGAGTGTGTGCTCCTACACAGCTCAGCTAACCTTTCCTGGAGCTGTATGGAGAGAACATATGGTTGGCTGTCAGACATGTTTGTGTCTCCATTGCAACTAATACAAATCCCTCAATAACACGTGTAATCAGACTTGGACATGGGTCAGTTAGCATCCTCCAGCACTGCCTTTCCTTGGTGCCTTCTTTTTCATCCACTCCTTTGATTTTTCTTTTTCTTTTTTTTTTGTCTTTGATATTTAATGCTTGTAGGGCTGTTGTTTGTTAATAGCATGACATTATGCTGATGAATAAAGGGAATCAGACCCAGAAGGCTGCAGAATTGGTATAAGTGGCTAGAAACAGTATAGTGCTAGTCTAGAAGAGTTTGATAAATGTTTTTTATTGTTGTATAGGTAAGTAGTTGTCTTGTAGTCTGTTACAACTTGTATTCTTTTCTTTTTAGAATGGATTTTTTTTCCCCCAGAATAAGTAGTTGTCAAAAGGCAACAGTTTCCACAGGTATTTTCTGTAGCATTTCATTAAAACATAGCAGAACTTTTCAGGATTACACGGACTGCATAGTCCTGATTCTTTCTTATCAGACTTTCTAGTCCTGATTCTGAAGTCTGAGCTACACACAGAGCCTTGCACAAGTAAGTTTTGCACTCACAGATGAGATTACATGACTGAGACCAGTCTTTGGTTAATAAAAACTGTAATTCCAATAGAGCTTTTAATGGGCATGGACATAGAGAGTGGATATCTGGGGCTTATGCTTTAAAGTAAAACAGGAGGCTCAGTGTAGTGAGATCAATGTCTTGCAAAAGAGCTGCTCCAGTTCTGACTTCCAAATCCTGATCCTGAAGGGAAGGTTTCTAAAAACAAGCATTGATACAGTAAAATTATGGGGTTTGTGATACTTCAAACCATAGATTTAATAGAGATATTGCTACTCCTTTCTCTTCTGAGTCCCTCTTTTGAAAGTAAAATGCTAAGCCTGTCTTTCCCTCTTGTTTGTTTTTATTAAACCACCTTAGCATCTCTTTCCTTGCTAACATCCCTCCTCTGTTCCATGAGTCTCAACGGCCTGTCCTCAGAGGTGTTTTGATTATACATGGATATGTTAATCAGACCAATTGTGCTCAATATGGGTTTGCTTTTGAGGTTTACATCTCTTTCACTCTTGAAGTTTTGGGGCTTTTTGTCTGCTATTCTGTCTGGTTTAAGCTTTTTTTTTTTTTATAAAATTGTTACATAAAAACAAATACATTTGTGAAGTATAAGGCTTTGGCTGCTTCCTTAAAGCATTTTTGTGAGGTCAGAAAGTGTAGTGCTTGAATGTTTACTGGGAATGGATAAAATCATTTTGAGATAAGGGGATGATTAAATGAAAATAACTTGGGATCAGGAGTCCATTAAAGCCCAGGAATTAAGTACACAGATCATTTATTTACCAGACCAGAGTTATAGTAGCTTTGAGCTGGAGTTCATAAGGTGTGCTGTCTTTTAAAGCAGAAAGTGTCTTGCCAGATCATCCTGTTTCTGGTCTTGCTTCCCACGTTTTTTTTTTGTTATGGATGAAGTTGGGCTACTGGATAAGGAAATTTGCAGTCTCTTGCACAACTGATTCCATTAATTCTTTTTCTTGATTTGTGAGTTGATATGTGTCTGCCTGACTGTCACACTTGCTGTGCTTTTTTCATATAAATTTCGGCACTGATCTGGTTAATTTGAAGTTTAAACCATTTTTGCATGTTAGATTTCACTCATTTAGTAATTGGTCCTCAAGCAGCATAAAAGTTATAATGTATTTGGAGTCTTTGCATGGAGCCTACACATGCATTTTAATTCTAAGAAATGAGTAAATGGACTTGAACAAGAAATAACCAAATACACAGTAACAGAAAAATTTTATGGAAAATCATGCTGTCTTAGAACACTTCTAATTTTCAACTGCTGACATCAAATATAACTTATGTAACATTCTGAAACATTATTTTCATCAGGCCAGCACAGGGCAATGAAATGGATTTTTTTTCCTATTAATTTGAAGGAAAGGGATCCCTTTTTATTTGGGACATTATCTAAATAAATGTTCTCTATTATAGAGAAAACGGGAAAGGGAGTAGCATTCCAGAATACTGATTTAGTATTTTCAAATTTTATTCAATACCATTCTCCATTCTCTTCATCAATTGCTGAATTGAAAGTAGGAAATATTCAAGGAATAGAAAAAGTAAGGACAAGTACAGTTATGCATACCTAGAGGAATGCGATTGAGATGCATGGTTATCTGGTTTTTGTTGGTGTTTGTTAGGTTTTTTTAAACAACAAGCTACTGATATTTTCTAAAAAAAAATGAAAAAAAAAAAAAAAGACCCTGTTGGTTTACTGTTTGAAGTACTTGAAACTGGCAGTATCCCAGGTTTGTATCTTAGTGAATTCAGTGCTAAAATGTTAAGAAGTAGCTGCTAATCAGTTGGAGGTTCTAACTGGAGTTTCAATATTCCCTGAAACGTTGCAGCAAAATTTATTTTCTAACTAGATTTTACTTTATAATGTATTGTATAGTTCATATATTTCTATTTAAAAAAAAATTCACCAAGCTCTTAAATGTTCACTGAATTATGCATGAGCACAAAGTGTAATGCCAGCAAAATTTGTTCAAAAGGGCCTTTAAATAAAGATTTGCCTTTTGACACTGATCATGAGAAAATAGATTTTTCATGTTGTGTGTCCTTTGTATTTTGTGGTTTAGGCAGCGATTGGATCTCTGGAACTTCAAGAAGAAACAAAAGAAGAATCTGATGAAGAGGAGGATGATGATGAAGAGTCCGGACGATTACGGTTCAAAACGGAACGGAAAGAAGGAACAATAATTCGGCTCTCAGATGTGACAAGAGAAAGGAGAAACATTCCAGAAACTTTGGGTGAGGTTTTGTGGCAATGGACTGGTTTGCAGAGCTGTAACGAATGAAAGTAAAAGACAGGCTTGCCAAAACTTTTCTAAAAGAGTTTAATGGCAAAAGGTAGAACAATCACCTTCTAACTTAGACTGGCTTATATCCAAATTGTCCAAAGCCATATGTCGTGTCTTGTAGTGCGTGTGGTGTCTGTCTCCTTAGGAATAATGTTTAAACATATCATGTTTTGAAAATCATTGTTATATTTGTTCACTGGGACCTCTGTGGTGTCCTGAAAAGCTTTCCTGTCTTCAAGCAGCAGCTCTCTGATCTGTGCTTCACTATGTATTGTGCTGGAATACATTTTAAGGAATTTCTTTGGGTGATTTTCAGCTGATAAAACAGATCTTCTGACTTGTGTTCTGTTGTGAAATACCTACATGTTTGCTGTTTTCCCCCAGGAATATAAGCATGCTCTGAACCTGTTGTGTTCCTGCTCTTGGATTGGCCTAGAGAAAATGTAACTTGTTGGGGAGTGTGTTAGAAAACACGGAAACCCTTTTTTTCTGGATTCAGCTTTTCTAACGTGAAACAATCTGGATCTCTTAAAGCCCCTTAATCCTTTAGGCAGTGTCTAAAAGGGTATAATTTCTTCCTATTTGAGTAATAAAACGTGAGTGTGTTTGTTTCTAGGAACACTGCTTTATGTATCTAATGAATTTGCCACTGCTACTTCAAATCAGTAGATTTGGAGCTTTCTTGCAGTTGCTCTGTTTTAGTCTATAGGTAAAATCACTTTGGTTTATGACTTTGAGAGTTAACTAAAGATCTTTCATGTGCTCTGGGTATTCAGGTATATAGTACTGGTGTTGTGCCCACCCCACTGGGGATAACCTCTTCATGTTGGACTTAGAGTGGTGGCAATAATAATAAATAATAAGTAAAATTAAAATTAAGGTATTAGGAAGATGGGCAGAAATTAAGTTTTACTTCCAGTAAGATGTACCATTCTCATAGTTTTGCTACTGAACCAAAATATCAATTCAAACTATGGAGAAAAAGCCCTGATCTTTTGAAGAGAATCAAGATACACAAGAGAGGTGAACTGGTAATGAAGGCAAATTGTCAGGTACTGTTGCCTAATTGTTAGATACAACTGGGAGAAGATGTGTGTTATGATACTTTCAAGTTTTGGCAGACTGTAGGGATGGATTCTTCACCCAGAATCCTTTAAGAGGGTGCCATGCAGCCTGAACTTAGAAGCTGGGTGCTTCTGCTTTCTTTACAGATGAGTCAGTGCCTTTGCACAGCAAGGCATTTTGGAATTGCATTCCCAGAGCAGATACTAGAGTACTAGAACTCATCCTGATGAAATTTTCCTCTTACCTTAAAAGCTTTACTTTGCAAAGGATGCTAGTTCTAAGCATTTTTCTCGTGAATTGTATAACCTATTAATTCTTTAATCTGAATGCAAGGGATTTGGGCTTTTACTATGCCTGCAAAAAATTGAGAAGCCTTAATTCTGTAAAGAGGTGTTGTGGCTAAGAGGACTTGTTCATGAGCAGTGAGGAACCAGCTGCAGAGGAGGCTGAACTAGACCTTCACAGTGGTATTCTGTGTCATGCTGTGAGAGATGTCAGTGCTTGATTTTGAATCAAAGGTATTTCTCCTCTGTTGTTCATATTTAGCAAATAGCTGCTTTTACTTGCAATGTCAGGCAAAGCATGTATTAGGGCCTTTATTCAGCATTGTTTTAGCAGTCAGGAATTGATTCTGATTAGAGTAAGACTGAAGGGAACCCTGTAGAGGCACAGAGTGGTCTATTCAGGCAAGGGGTATTTTAGCTGAGGTAAGTTCCAAATGTGTTTACAACCATAAGACCATGTGTTTATGTACCACATACAGACTACATTTATTTGTACAAAAGGTGTTGATGGCTTTACGAAACAGAGTATTGTAAAAGCAAGAGCACTCTAGGATAACTAAATTTCTGCACATAATTGCAAGGTAAATGACAATTGCATGGGCATTTGTGTATCTGTGGATTTATTCTTCAGTTTAATCTAAAAATCCCAGCCAGTGAGGAGAAAACAGTCAAGCTCCACTACAGGTTAAAAGAAGAGTGGTTTGAATTAGACTTATTTTTGAATGTAATTTTAAGTGATTTGGGGTGTAGCTCTGAGATATAAGGAAGAGATGAAGCAAAGGTGGATGATTCTATAAAGAGGTTTTTCTGAAACTAGTATTTGGCAAAAATACAATCTTGCTGTTGTGAAATGGTTTCTATTCATACTAACTTTTTTTTTTGTTAATTTGTTGTTAAAGAGACCAGATGATTGACCAGGTGGTAGAAAGTTAAACCACAAAAGATTCTTGTTTGCATATAAGTATCTACTTCCTTTTGAGATTATAGAGCAAATTTTTACAGATGCTGTAGTTTAAAAATGAAATTTTATTGCAGACCTACATCTCCTTACTCTAAAATATGAACATAGTTGAGAAAACACTTAAAGAGGAATTAACATTTCAGTTGAAGTTACAAACGTAATTTCCATCCTGTCACATTTTGGTGACCTTTTGTGACAGCTTGTCTCTATTGGAGGAGTGCATTCTTACTTACTGATTAAAGATGTCATTTGAAACCATTTTATTACCAGCAATAGTGAAATTAATCTTGACACTTAGAGACACCAGAAAAATAATTGCTGATTCACTGCATTAACTGTGTGTGAGAACTGTACAGTCAAGATGAGACTAAGTGTGTGCCAGTAAAACAGATGTAAAAATATAAAGTGTTCTCATGAATGTAGCTGAGATCTTTCCTAAACATTTCTTTATCCAAGCTAATGTAAATAGTGGTTTTGTAAAGTCCAAAGGAGGGGTACTGTAGGACAGCTATGCAGTTGATTTCTAGTGATACCAAGTTTGTCATCTTTGATAAGAAATATGTAACTTCTTTCAGTGCATGTAGTTGAAGTCTTCCCAGAGTAGAAATTGTCATTATTCTCTGGATTTAGTTACCTGTTAAGGAATGTAAAGAGAAAAAATGTCTTTGGTATCACCAAACTAAAGTATCCCCTCTGTATCTAATTTAAGAAAAAATCAAACCACTTATTACACTTATTCAGAACCATTTGCAAAGTGCTAACAAAGGTTAATTGGACGTGGCAGTACTTTTTGTTATGCCCTGCTTAGTTGGCTTATGTTCACTCTGATGACTAGTGGCTGAGATTTCAGGCATGACTAGGAAATTAAACTGAGTGGTTTCACTCTTGTCCTGTGGCAGAAGCACAGAGTGTAGGCAATTTGGAGATCTGGGTGATAAGGAGAAAAAAGTTACAACATGCTGCATATATATGTAAATGAATATATATATTTATAACTGTTTGAGAATGTGATTGGTGTTGAAAATCTCTGCCTTACCCAGGATTATACGGATTGTGGGATTTTCAGATCTGTGGGTTTGCAGTGCTGTTGTGCTCAGGGAGCAGCGGGAGGCAGAAGTAGCCGCAGAGGTGTGTGCTCAGGGTTGGTGCAGGCAGGAGCCAGAGCTGCCCCAGCCTGCACATGCTGTGCAGGGAGCCTGGCACCATCCAGCTGGGCCCAGGGTGCTTTTGCCACACTTTACACAAGGTTTTAGCCAGGGAGAAGCCCTTTAGGGAAAGCCAATCTCTTCTTCCTCTGCTCATCACTTCATTTCTAGTTAGCAGTGTGATCTTGCTCTCAGGGAAGACAGGGACTCTTTTCTTTTCTTCCTCTGTGCAAAACCATCTTCCATGTTATCTCCTCTCCTTGATCTCTGTATTTGTGGCACAGTGCTCTCAAATACAACATGCAGCCCAGCTAATAATTGAACTGACTATATTTTACTGTGTGGTGATTGTATATCTATATACAGCACTTGAGGTGTTCATGGCATGAGTGGTGACTTCTGTGGTTCTGAACCTGCACTTTTGTGTCTAAGTGAAATTATAGGACACTGTTGCCTTAATGGCATGCTGTGAGGGAAGTATGTTTGATGTTGATGTAATCTCTTTTTTTAAAAAATCATGTGGTTATATTGTACTTCTGTGGTCATAGATGTGGTATGAATGCAATGATGTTTGCTGCAGTGAATTCCTGAGGGTTTTTATTTGGGTTGGGATGTTTTTTCCAAGGTTGGTGTTACACACGTGTTCACTTTCTTGACTGAAAAACTGAACACGGGGACTCTGCCTTTAAGGACATGGCCTTTAAACTTTGAGAAATTTTGTGTAAAGTGAGGAGGAAAACGATTTATTCATTTTAAAGAGAGTGAAAAGCACATCAAAGACCTTTGCATGGATACCGTCATCCCTTCCCTAAGGTTAATCAGCACAGTGCTCTGAAGTCATTTTGTTTAGAGCAGCCAATTCTTTCTTCTGAAGTTGTTTGTACTCAGTGTTCTTCAATATGTACTCAAGAGGCTGAGGGACTTGGCCATAATGTTGCCTTTTAGGAAGTGTAGCTCTATTCCCAGGTTCATTAAAAACTGCTTTCCTCACATGTGACTTCTATATAACAGGAAGTTGCTTCTTATCATCTGTCATGATTGTCAGTGGTAGGTACTTGTGGAAGTGACTGAACTTTGTTTTCTGGACTACAGCCTTGCTGAGTTCAGGGTTCTAGTATGGAAGATGGCAGAGAAATTGTCCTACCTGTCCTATTCCTGGGGAAAAAACCCAGCTGTCCAACTAGCAGCACATCCAGTACGCTCTGCAGAATTTAAAGGGAGGAGTGTTACTCCTTTGCAACATAGTGACACTATTTCCTCCCCTACGTATGTGGGAACTAGTGATCCATCTTTCTGGCAGACCAAGTCAAAGCCCACATTTGCTCTTCATGCTTGTAGACCTCTGAAGAAACAGAACTTGCTGCAGGTGTGGAGAGAAAGGAGGCTTGAAATTAGAGCTGTGTTTTTCCCACCAAACTGGCTTTTTTATCCCTGACAGCCAAAGATGGCTAAGGTGGTTGTTTTAGTTGCATCTGATGCTTTTGATTGCTTTAGACAAGAGTACATTTGTTTTAATTTTCCTCAGAAATCCATAGTGTGCACATATAATACCATACTAAGATTTGAGGGGCTGTGGTTCCTTGCCTCTTTCTGAAACATGTTGTGAGATGTTTCTGATAAAGCCTCATTGTCTTGGGCTCTGCTGATGTCTCGAGGCATGTGCCTTGAGGGCAGAGGTAGTGTTTCATAAGAGTATCTGCTAAGGCTTTATGCCATTTAATTTGGTGTCAGAGAGGAGAGGAAAGGACAAAGAGAAACTTGTGTCATCACCAACACGCAAAAATGAAATAGGAAACTCTATGGCAGATCCTGAGCTTTTAGAAGTCTGTTGTGTTTGCTGTGTTCTTACAGGCCATCAGCAAGTTCTGAACTTTTCCTTTAAAAAGCCACTGCTTTGTGGAGGTGCTGAATACTTCTGAAAACTGGGACATGCAAATTTACAGTGTTTGCAGCTCAGTCATGCAGGTAGTTTTTGTAGCCAAGTAAGAACAACGGCCGCAGTGGGAATGCACAGCGCTCACCCTTCTCTGCCCTTCTGTCAATCCTCAACTTCAAAGACTAATGGAGATTACTTATGAAGATGTTTAAGAGGGTGGTTTAAGTAGCTTTGGCTTTTAGACTCGCAGGAAACTGTAAGAGTTTTCTAATTGCCTTAGCTATATGTTCTTGGTGTATATCTAGTGGAGATGCAGCACTAATGTCTCAGCTGCCACATACAAATTATTTTTATTCTGATGTTCAAATATTGCAACCACTATGTGTAGTAGTGCCAAGTATATATTATATTAATTCAAAATATGTTTTTATTTGTCAGGAGTTTGTTTCTTTTAGAGTAGTTTGATTTTGTCTTGTTAGAGGGAGAAGTCAATATCACAGGTAACAGGGGATCTGACTGGCAAATGGCAAAAGACTCAACTGCATGTTTGAGGTAAAGTTTATTATCCTGTTTAGGTGATTCAAGCCCAGTGAGTGGCACTGCTCATACTGCCATGGTGTGTTTCCTGAAGTCTGTAGTAGACTTTCTCTGCATTTTCAAGTAATTTCATTACCTGGGTCTGTTACTGAATACTTTTTCTCTTAATATTCTGTCAGCATTGTCCAAGATTTCAAGGAAATTTGTCAGTCTTTGTTGAGTACCCTCTCTTCTCTGGTGTTTACCTGTGATGTGAGTTGGGTGGGTGTTAGCAGCAGCCATGTGTTTGTCTTGAGCTGAGTACAGATTTCAATTTGTGCTCACTTGTGAAGTACAACTGGGTCTTAAACCACATACAATAAAATAAATAGTAATTAGTTACATACTGGAAACTCAGTTCAGCCATCAGAAAGTGCTTCTTTGGAACAGGCCAATGTGCAGAAGAGTTTGGTGGATAAAATCTGTTTATATGTAAGACTCAACAGATCCTTTACAGTAAAGTTTACTGGAGGTTTCATTGTCCTACCTGACATTTTGGCAGATAAGTGAGATGCTTAAGGCAATAAAACTTTGAGAGAAGCTACAGCCACCTCTTACAGCAGAAGGCAAACTTCAATACCATCTTAAAAAACAAAACAACCAAACCTCTTTGTTCATGTTTGTTTCATTTATCTGCTGCTTTTTGCCTGTGCAAAAGACACTAATATCTGTGCTTTTTCCTTTTAGAGATGTCTTTAATGAAATGTTAACATGCCACCTAAAGGAGATCAAAGTGCCTGCAAATTTTATCCTAGTGCAGGGATTCTTCTATAGTTCTAGCAATGTTCTTTTCATTGTATTTTCCTTCTTTTCAGTGCAAAGCTAAAATATTTTTCCCCTTTTCTCTCTTAACAGAGCTTTCTGCAGAAGCCCAAGCAGCATTACGTGAGTTTGAGGAGAGGGAAAGGCAGCTCAAACAGGGACGATACGGCTCCAGGAGAGGAGGGCGAAGAGGAGGCTCCATTATGTGCCACGGAATGGGAGAACAAAGGAGAGACAATAATGATAGGGGAAGAATGAAGGATCACAGGCCTGCACTGCTGCCAAACCAGCCATCAACAATGGTACCTTTTAATCCTTAGTGTTCTTTGAACGTTCAGGAAGTTATGGAGAAATGCATTCTAAACTGTGAATTTTTGCAAAGGTGGAATATATGTTCCAGTGTAGACCTTTTGCTCTCTGTTAGGCAGGATGGCTTTGTGTAACTTGATGATTGTGAAGTATGTGCTTCCAAATGTAAAGTGCATTTTGACTCGTACAACACAGTCAGACTTAACCTGCTGATTTGCCTGAGAACGGAGGAATAACTTAATTCCTCTGAGAAGTCCTCTACCTGTGACATGGAAACATGTTCTGTAATAGTAATATAGTTTAAAAAAGATTATTCTGTAAAATATTTCTTGGTTTTTGTCCAAGAAATGTTTTTGGTGACATTTCTTAAAAAAAATAAAAAAAATCTATTTGCCTGTCAGCCATGGAGGTAAATAAAATCCTAGGAAGGTAATCATTACTTCCCTAGTAGATAAATTATTATTTGGGATTTCAGATGAAGTTAAACTTTGTTGCTGCTTTTTTCCCCTGTGCTTTGTGTCAATCTAAAAGACTTTTTCCATCCAAAAAACCCCCAACAACTCCAGCAAATGTGGGTTTAAGAGGTAGCCCACACTTATTTTTGTTCACTTGCATAAAATGTACTGGTAACTGAGATTGTAGAACAAGGCCTGTGTATGTCTTTGCAGGACAAGGTCGTCTGTATTAAACAGAGGTGATTTTTTCCAGCAGCAGTAACTAAGTGCTGGTCACTGGCAGGAGTCGGTGTTATCTCAGCGGTTGAGAGCCCTGCAGTAGAATGTTTCATGCTTTTAAAACAGTGAAGGTTGAATAATTTACTTTTCTGGTTTGCTGCAGTCTTTGCTAGCTATTTTGATTTTAAATGTTGTAAACATTTTTTGTGCTTGTCACAGTATCTTCTTGTGTATACTATGTAGCTGTTTTGCTTTTTATGTATGTGGCTGCTAAAAAAAATGTGTGACATCTTTGTTGCTAAAAGGTTGGCTCTTTGGGGCTCTTCTTCACTACCCTTTGGAAGTTACTGGATAGTACTAATATGTGGCGTCAGTGAGTTCAGAGGCAGAAGAAAGTCTCTGAAAAGAAACATATTTTTTTTTTTATTAGAACTGATTTTGGCCATTTGTTTATGAGTGTTGAGCAGCAAGAGACTTCCTTCCGTGCTAGGAAAGGTACCTTTGAAAGGTATCTTTAAAGTAGTTTTTTCTTCAAGCAGTATGGATAGGTTTGCTGCACTGATAACTGAAGAATCTAGCTTAATTTGTATTTTGACTTTTTTTGCTAGTGCTAGGTCTGTTGTCTCATGCTCTTCTGTATGTGAGACAAAAGTTAGTGGATTTGTTCTGATACCTGGACTCAGATTTCCAGTGATCTTCACATGTACCTTATTGCAGTTGATGACAGTTTCCAGTAACATGCAGAATGCTACCATATGAAACTAGGCAGTTTCACTGATAAAAATAAGTGAGTCTGTCTGCATGCCCTCTGTGCTTCCTTGCTCTCTGCTCTCCTTCACATGAATGTCTTTGATTGCTCCTTTGCTTTCCCATGCTGATAGTTCTAAACAGTTCCAGTTAATAAAGGGAAAGAAATTTTTCTGTTCATAATTGGCCTTAATTGTTCTCCAAAGGTGTCTTGGTTTTGTGCTCATTTATGTCAGGATATTTTAACTTTAAAGCCTGGTGACTTTGTTCTTTTGTCTGACTTTAGACTCATTCACAGAGGTTAATTCCAACACACCAGCAACCTGTTATGAGTCTGTTCCAGCAGCAACAACAGCAACAACAACAACAGCAACAGCAGCAGCAACAACAGCAGCAGCAGCAGCAACAGTTACAATCTCTGCTTCCTTTACAGCATCAGCATCATTCTTCTCCTCCTCCAGGGCTACATATGCCCCCTCCGATAGAAACGCCTCGAATCATGATGACTCCACCTCCAGTGACACCTCAGCAACCGAAGAACATACACATAAATCCACATTTCAAGGGGACAGTAGTGACACCTGTACAAGGTGAGCTTTCTGAGCACCTTTCCAGTCATGCAAGAATGACTCATCTTATTCTTTGCCAGAGATGCAACAGCTTGTTTGTTTATCACTGCATGGAAATGTGCTTCAGGCTGCTGTTGTTTTCTTTAAGCTGGAAACAAATGTTTTGCCTGAAGTAAGACATAATGTTGTTGGACTGTCACCAACTAAAATAGCAAAGCCTTTTCAGCTGTTATGTTTGTTGCTCTAATGTAAAACCTGTCAAGAGCAGTAAAAATGGAAGCTGGAAAGAGAATGTGCTTTTTAAAAATAATAGATGTCAGTTCTCAAAACCAGGTAAGTACTGCAGTTTGTAATTTCCCACTTCATTCCAGCTTCAGCCAAGCATTCACAGAATGACCACCCACCTGTTTCAGTGAGAGGGTACTGAGGCACTACTTGTGCTGTAATTGCTCTGTGAAAGGTACCAGTTTGCTGTCCTTCCTTGACAAGATACATTCCTCAGTTCTCCTTTCAGGACCAGATTTGTAATTATTTGATTCACAGCCTGCAAGTACATTTTTTCTGTAAGTTAACACAAACACTCTGTGGGCTAGACTTCTTAGGGTAGCTTTCAGCAAAGCTGGTAATGTTACTTCTTATTTAGGAAGTGTTTAATCCCTAAGAGGATAAGAAATGACTCCTGCATAGCTCTGTTTTGTGATTTTGTTGGGATTAGATAAAGTAATCTAATGTATACATATTAGATATATACATATTTATACATATTTACCATTAGGTTTTCTGTATTTTTGCTCCTTCAAATCAGCAGAACTCCAAGCCAGTGCTATCTTTGCTTCATTTATTTAACCAATGAAAAGTAGGAACTTGGCAGGGTAGGATATTGCCAGTATATGGGGATCTATTAGGCTTCTCACAGATGGCTGTGTAGTAGCTGTGTTGTAGAGCTTATTTTGCTTTTCCCTGTGGTGCTTTCCACAAAATTATGCATCAAGACAGATTATCTGGAATCACTCCAAAAGATCCTTTGCTCTTGGATTTATGCCTTCTGTGCATTTTCCTAACGTTCCCAAAGTAGAAGTTACTGTTTTGTGAGAAGCAAAAATTGCTTTTAGACTATTCTTCTCTCTCCCTGTGAAACGGTCAACAAATCTTCTGTCTCTAGCTGAGCAAGTGTCCTCCTAATGCTGGGAATGGCTCTTGAGGACTTGTGCTTTTGACTAATGTCAAAAGTATACCTGTGTATTTTCTTTCTTTTATCTGAGATTTTTTTTACATTACTGGGCAGCTTCAGGCATGTCTCAACCTTCCCACTATGTCTGTGGTACTGTGGCTGTTGCAGGTCTCTTGCTTTATCCTGAACATAGTCTCTTTTTCAGTCTTCAGTTGCAGATCCTCATTTCACTGTAGAAATTTAATCTTCTTGATTAGAGAGCATGTATTGGAAGCTGAGTCTTCTGCAGTGACTGAGAGTAGTGGTCATCTTAGTCTCTTAGTCTGCAGCAGTACAGTTATACATTTGTATACATTTGCACACCTAAGGAAAATGTGTTTGAAATTAGGAGCCTTCTACAGGTAGATGAGGATAATTCTGAAATCTTCAATGTTATTTGCATATTAAAATGAACTTTTAAGCAGTCACTGCAGGCAAATGGTAGATAGAAATTCCAGTGTAGAGAATGCCATTCTAAACTTCCTCTTAAAAAGTGTTCCTCCATTTAATCCATCTACTTGAAGCCCCAGTAGGCAGAGACTGATGGTTGACAACATAAGGATGTGTCTCACTTACAGCATCATTTATTTCAGGGTAACAGGAACTATGAAAGATCAGATTGACTTCATGTTCTTGATGATGGCCTACCTGTTCTTGACTGAACATATTTCCAGATACATGAAGGTTTTTACACATTGGAGGATACAGTCAGATAGGTGCAAAGTTTATTGGGATTCTGGTTTTGAGAACATTATGCCTGGAAGCTAAAAATGCCATGTCTAGAAGTGCATGATATGCACATTTAGGTTCTGGTAATTTTAATGGTGTGCTGTCATGTTTTAGTGTAGACTGGCATTTTTTCCTCTCTAATTTTATGGCAGGATTAAGCTAACATACTTCTAATTGTCAGCTCCAGGGACACTTTTCCCAGCTGCAGATCACAGAAATACACTTTTTCAACATCTTTTTGGTTTGAGTTAGTCTTGAAGCACGTCGAGTGTATCAGTATTTTCTAAAATAGACTCAAACCTCCTGTAAATTGTTATGAAATTTTCATGTGAATAAAATACCATATATAACAGCTCTAGTAGACAGCTGCTTCAGCCTGAAAGGAAGTAGAAGCACTCTTGAAGAATCCTATCATTGGCTTATTCCTTTGATGTTACAAAGGCAAATCTCTTACTGTGGCCACCATCTCCCTGCCCAACCTTGAATCTTGGTTCAAAAAAATAGTTACTTTCAAGTCAGTTTTGTTTCAAATGAATTTGTACTATTTTTAGTCTTTGAAGCTTCATAAATGATTAAGGACTCAGTCTGTCAAGTCCCTAAAACATGAGCTTCTGCGAATACTTTCTGCAGGTACTGTGCAGTTAGTGCTCAGTTGTGCCTCCTGTGGCATTTGAATCCCATGTCTTTTAGTTGCTTACTTGCCATACAACGAGTTTTCCCTTTTCTTTGTGTCCTATCCTGTAAACTGCTTTTGAGTTGTAAGTAGCAACTTTTGCTGAATGCATCTCCAGATTTCAGTATGATCAATTCACTAATGCTGGAGGGCTGTACATGGGTGGACTGTGAAATACTGATCCAGCCTGTGATAACAGCTATTGTGTTTTTTCCCCTTAACTGTTTATATCACAAGTATCTATTTCAAGGATGCTGTGGCACTGCCAAAATTGAGCAGTTTATGGCAGCTCAGTGTGCTGTTTACCTTTTGAAAACTGTTTGGTGTCTTGGGAAAAATCACATTATAAATCACATTATAATTCTCCTAAGTAATCAATATGGGAAGTGCTTCTTCATCATTTCAGGTATAGCATTGGAAGCTATAGCACATATACAGCAAGAGCCAAATTAATCTTCTTAAAATAGTGTCTTACAACATGCTGTGTATTATTCTTGAAACGTACTTTTCAGACCTATGGAATATTTGACATCAGGAAAATGAGGGCTTATTTGAGACTTCTTTGCTGCTGAAGCAAGTGTCCAAGGATTGAAAGGACACAGAGTTTGAACTACTATCTTTCATGAGTAATAAATTAATTTGTTTAAAATATATAAATATATCTCTCTATATATGCTACTGCCAGAGGCAGGATACTGAAATAGGCTCAAGTGCTCTGTTCAGTTGACATTTCTCTACATTTCCCACTGTATGCTATTTTTCTCAGTGCCTCCCTGACCTGTAATACCTGAACTGTTTTAGGACTAGGTCTGTCAGGTGCAACCTGTCAGTTTTTTCCAGGTGGCCATGGCTGTTTGATATGGACAGATGTTCATTAGAAGTCAAGATGAAACCGTTCAACTCATTTTCTCGTGTAACGTGATATGAAGCTTGCACACAGTCCTCCCCTGCTGAAAGATGGCTGCAATTAGTTTACCCCATCACTCTCTGACCCAGCAAACCACAAGTACTTAGCAAAAGTGGATAGAAGCCAGACATGAACATGAACTAAAAACAGCCTCTGCTGCATTGGTTCTTGGGCCTCAATTCCCAAGGAAAAATGGACTTTTGAGGCATATTAGCAAACTCCTGTGTTGAGAAATGCACCCAACTTCTCCCTCAAATTAGCTGCATTTCTTAGCATTTTTCTTACTCTGAAGTGTAACACAGTAGCTGTCTACAAGTCAGTGTTTCACTGTGGAAAACGTTTTCCTGTCACTTTCAGAAGTGCTAAAAACAAATTGAAGAAAGAACAAATGTGCTGAAAGTTTTTAGTAAATGAGCAAACACATTCGGTGCTGTCTGAAGTGCTTTATTTAACTTTTCTAGGCCTTTTGTTTAACATGGGAACACTGGTGTTTTTAACCACTTAGACAACTCAGAGAGGAAATAAAAAGTGCACTGGAAAATGGGAAATCTGTCATTGTACTGAGGATTCAAATACAGATCAGTCCCCAGGGTGATTCAGCTGTAGCTCTTTTTGTGTTGTGCCATAACATTAAGTGAATGTTCTGGGACATAGTTTTCTGTGACTGGTGTTTGAAATGCAGTTGTATGGGCAAGTCATCCATGCTAATCCTCCTGAAATACTAGTTTTGGAGTTAGTTTTCAGGAAAGGGTCTCCTAATTCTTTTCTTTGTTGAATAACAGTCTTTCATCTGAGATCTCCAGTTCTGTGATCAGTTACATACAAACACTGTGGTGGCAAGGCCAGGTTAAATAGTTTTTGTGTGCTGTTAATTGCAGCTGCCTGCCTCATTGTAACCCTCAGGAGCAGTGATTTATACCAGTTTGTGTCTCATGTCCATGCTTGTTGTGGGAGCTTTGTGGTGAGACTGGGAGATAACTGGGAAATGTTGAGTGGCATGAAGTAGAGAAGGCAAATGAATCGTGTATCCTTCTGCTTGAAACATGGAATTCTCTGTCAGCTTTGTCTAAGAGATGTCTTTGGCTGAATAACAATTCTAGTTTTTCTTTCTGCAACAAGGAGCAATTTAATTCTGGAAAATGCAGAACTAAATTATGTAAATTAACTAGGAGAATCCTAATTGCCCTGTTGCACGTTGCAGGGGAGGGAATGGCTGCTTAAAGTTAATTGTAGGAGCTGTGACATGTGAGGGTAAAAGTAGCAGATTTTAATCATGTCTTTTTATTGCAACTGCTTTTGGAAATAACAACAACTGTTAGGTAAAACAAATGGTGTTAAAAGGTGCTTCTTGTTTCAGTGCCCTTGCTGCCAGTTCCTGCCCAACCAAGACCCGCTGTAGGACCCCAGAGATTTCCTGTGAGTAGCAGCTGTTTCTTACTCTCTGATATGGATAAGCATACATTTGCAAGGAAATATTAATATAGCAAATAAAAGCTGTTCTAGTGAAATATAATTTTAAGGATTTGTAAATATTGACAATACACTCTGTAGTTGAAAATGTTTGTTAAAAGCTTAAGGTCAATGGATTTTTGAGAGTAGAATTAATTCTGTTTAACTGTAAAATTGTTGAACCAGTCTCTCCAGTGGGAGAGGCATGAATGCATCTTGTCTTAAGGAATATGGGCTTCATTTTATTACTTGACTCTTTCTGTATGAATAGAATCCTTATTTTATTTGATATAATAAAAGGCTATTTGAAATAATCCCTAAGCTTAAAAAGCAGTAATATATATTTATTGTAAAACTCAGCAATCATTTTTATCATTACTTCAGGCATTTCAATGCCCTCACTTTTTAAATAAAAAATGGAACTGGCATTGCATGACCTTGCTTTCTCTTACATTTCTAACTTGGAAAACGAACAAGACACTTAGCTGCTTCACTAGGCTAATTTCACTTCATATTTTTTCTAGCTCTATGAATGGAAAGAGTCCATGCTTCTAGAACTTTTCTCATAATTTCAGTTTTGTTATCCCAGATTTCGAGTTGAAATGGTTTGAAAAGTATCAAAATAAGCAAAAGAAAACCTAGGTTGCAATATTGCCTTAAATATTTTCAAACAAAGACCTGTATACTATGCTTCCCAAATACATAAAACACATAAAAATTATCCTGTGTTGATGAGTGCAGTGTTGAAGGAGGAAAGTAGATGTCTGAACATCTGTGTAGTATCACACAGTAAATTACTGGACAGAGATCAGATGTGTTTGAAAGAAGCAGATTTCACAAAACCTGCTGTGACTTTTGATTGCCCTGTGGCAGACCTGGTTGGTTTTGGTGCAGAATACTTTTCATACAGGACATGTAGCTGAGGAGTTGTGATGAACATATTTTGTACAGAAACTGAGTTTTTGAATTGCCATTTTTCTTCTGTGAAGTCTTAAAAGGTTAAGCAGTAAAACAGCAGTTTCATTAAGTCAATTCCTGTTATATTTTATCTTCAATAAAATGTTTCTGGAGCTATTTTTCTGTTAAAGGTATTGTGGTTTTCAGAGGAAATTTTCTTCACCAGCCTTTAGTATTATGTAGAGACCTTATTTACATTTTAAAAGCAATTTTAATTGTTTTTTTTTTTTTTATGAAAACAAGTGTCTTGCATTTGTTTTTCTTTGACACTAAGTTGATTTGCCAATAAACACAATTTGAGATGCAAAAGCAATTGGAGAATACGGAATATCTGCAAAGGCATTGTAACTGGCATCTTTGAAGTGTGTTTACATCAGTGTAGAAAAATTGGAAATTAACTTTTTTTAAAATTGACTGTGAAATTAGATTTTAATTCTGTTCACTTTTGGTTTCGTAAGTTAAGAAGTACTGCAGACCTAGGTAATCTGTATGCAACAGTTTTTAGAAGGAAATAAAATAAATGAAATGTTTTTTGGAAGGACTCTTGCTCCTTTAGCCTGCAGGAAAAACTTCACTGCTTGCTGCCTTTTTATTTATATAAGCAGTGCACCAGAAAAGAGTCACTGTAATTAATTTTTCATAAGGGGGAGGAGGAGGGCTGTCTAACCTGAGAGGATCCAGCAGTGTCATTTGGTGGTTGCCCTGACTGGTTTGGGTTTTTTCTGCTTCAGCTGGTAACATGCTGTATGACCCTGAGAAAGTTACTTCATCTTTCCATGACTCACTGAGTTGCAAAGTGGGTATAAAATGGACTTCCCTTATGAAGTACTTTATAAATTTTGCATAGGTTATCAGTCATATTAGGATTAGGAATTAAGTGTCACTGTGTACATATCTCATGTTTGTTTTATTAAATGTAGTATGTTAGCTCTTGAGCTGAAGTCAAATTTACTTTCTGACTAACGTTTTATCTTGCAGAACTACCTTTTTTGCTCTGTTACATGTCAGATGCCTTTGTGCCATTAGAATTCACTTGTTTATGTATAAATGTTCACTTACAGCAATACAGCAATGGTTAGACAACTTTGACAAGCCATTTGAAAAAGATCAAAGACTTGTTCCAAACTATAGTTCATTCATCCTTTTCTTCACTGTATAAAGAATCTCTGGATATGTAATGACTTGAATTTGCTCTTGTTTTCAGGATTGCATAATCAAAGGATAATAGTCAGCTGATTTTTCTGATGACTTTGTTTCTCAAAACCTGTGTGGTTAGAATTAAATATTTGCAGTCTGCTTTCCACTTTAACTTTAAACTGGATGGTTTCTGTGAGGTGGAAACATGGGAAGTAATGAAGTTTTGGCAAGGAAAAGACCAGGAGTGGCTAGTGCCATAACTGAAGGAAAAATTTGCCTCTGAGTTCTCTTCTTACCTAGGAGAGAAACCTCTTAGCACAAGGAGCCTGTGTGTGCTCCCAGCATGGGAAGAGCTTCAATCAGAGCTAATCAATTGCCAGTCATAAATCTATTGGAAACCAGGTGTTACTAATTTAGGGCTGATGGAATGACTTGTAACCATGTAATGGTTAATTCTTAGAGCCCTCTGCAGAAGGATGTAATTGAAGGGTTGAACAAAGTTGTAATGAGCATGTTAACATATGGTGTGAGTTCTAAATTATGGGAAATAATGTAGTACTACATCAGGGTAGTGTTGATCAAGATTGAACCTTCTTAGAGTGGGAACTGATTAAATTCCCTTAACCTTGAATCTCAATTTTAATATTTCAGTGTAGAGTTCATTGTTCAATTATGCCTTTCTTAAAAAACTTAACCCATGAAATGTTTAGAGAGGAAGTGCTAGAAAGGATGCAAGGAAATTAATCTCTGTTCCCTGCTTAGAGTTATTTTAACATTTACACTAATCTTGAAGAAAACAATGAAGTTATCTATCTCTTACTCTATAAGCATTCAAAGTGACTCAGTGTGAATGATATTTCAGAGCTATATGCTGCTGATAAGGACTGAATGAGTGATAGATCAGAGGTGTGTCACAGCTGAGAGATGTGGTGGACTTGTGGTAACTGGGAGTTAAAGAGGTGAATTCTGCTTGTCTGAATTGCACAGTACTCTTGGGGTGGCTGCAGTTCATAGTAATCCAGTCTTCAAGCGTAGTTTGAATTCACCTGGAATTGTGCAAGTGCCAACTGCCTTTTTTCTTTAAACTGTTTAAAGAACAGACCTCTTTGGCAGAGTCCTCCTGAAGGTCTTGCTTTTGTCATCTGCCTTTGCTTTAAAGTGGTTAAAATGCCTTCTCCCGAGTTCTCAGCATCACAGTTGGTATTTCACAAATAACAGTCTAGTTTGGGAAATGATCCATTTAGAGTAAGGTGACAGAAGACTTTATTCACAGGCTAGTTGTATGTGTCTTCTGAACTTTTCATGTGTTGTCTGACCAATTTATTAATTCCCGTGGATGCCCTGGTGCAGATATGGAGCCTGTGGGTTTTTTGTCACACAAGAGTGACCACTGTGGTTCCTGTCCTCCATCCGGTGTTTATTGTGTGGGCTAGTTTCTCTTTCCACTCCTGTGCTCTGGGAAGAAAATGGGGTAGAACAAGGGAAGAAGAAATTAAATAGAAAATGGAAGAGGTATTTCTAAATGCTTTATATGAAGGCTGCTGTTAACTGATTATTATAGAGGTCAGATCATTACAGAGTATGAAACGAGGAGCTATGCTGATGGTCCAGATCACACCAGCACATTCTGGGTCTGAAATACTTCAGTGTTTGCCTGAAGAAAAGTTTATAGAGGCTTTTGGCTTCAAACACCATTTATTTAACTTAATTAACACAATAATATTATGTAGCACATGCATACATTTTTTTTTAAGGACATACAAAAGTGGAAGAAATGTTGTCATGCCCACTTTGGGATAGAGTGTGGCAGAGGAGAGATGTCAGCATTCTTCAGCCAGAAATTGTGAGGTATCCCTACCATCCAAAACTGGGGTTGGACTGAGGAATTTGGAGAGATGAGAAAGTTGGGGATAACCTGCTTCACCCTGTTAAAGGCAGAAAAGAGGAATTCCTCATGTCTGAGGCCATTTCCCCTCTCTCTGTGACCCAGATTCTCCTCTGAAACTGCTGCAGAGAGAGCAGAGCCTGTCAATGCAGCTGTATGCCTTTTGCCAGGAAAATTTTCAGGAAGTTGGAATGTATTCTGATTTAGGCACTGTCCTTAACCTGTCACCCTGGGTGTGGTGTGAGCCGGGCAGATGTCCATCCCATAGACACATTTTATTAACTTTGGTCAACTTGAGTTTCAGAGCTGGAGTCAGGAATGGTCTGAAGTGGCACAAAGCACAAGATGAAGTGACCTGAGTGTCTAGTGACTAATTTGTGTGGCTTTTAATGCACAGAGCTTTTCTCTTTTAAGAGGACACCTTAGTGCACTGGGTTGGTGTCTTTCACATAACTGTTGGATTCAAGTCTGAAAATACTGAATTGTATTGCATGAATTATGTTTTATTCAATATTTTTAAGACTTTATTACAGTGACTTGTCCTCAGACCCTTGTGAATATCCTACATCACATGTCTTTTTGGTTCCCAGTGTGTTTTGATATGATTTGATTTTGGAACTTAGCACTCCTGTTTAAAATAATCTTTAATCTCAAAGAATGCATGATTTTTTTTTTTCCCCTTAAAAACCTTAGTAAACTTTTTTTTATATTCTCATTGAAATGCTTCCACTTGATCTTCAGGACATGAGGTGGTGTCTTAAATGGATGCTGTGAAAGGCAGTTGATTAGTTTTGATTTATTTTTTTCATCATTTCTGGAAACTATTTTGAATTCTGAGCTTTTGAGTGTTGTTTGTGATTCAGGCACTGTTTTTAAGTACTTCATGATTTAATCTGTCAGAGGTTTTTAAACAAGTGACCAGTCATTGCTCAAAACAGATGTTGCTGTCCTTCATGGCCACTTGCTTGAAATTTTTCTTCTGAAAAAG